TTTGGTCAACAAAGCGACAAAGCTGGAGTAGCTTCTGCAAGGATATTGAAGGAGTACCAGAGGCGGTCAAACTTAACAAAATTCTGTCGAGAAATCCAGAGGCTATCTCCGTTTCATCATCAACTTAAAGGGTGAATACACGCAAGCGGATGAACAGATCCTTTTGTGTCTAGAGGAGACCCATTTTCCGGGATTCCAGACGGACGCAATGGGACCTGCTACTGTATAACGGAATAACAAAACTGCTCCAGCCGGATGAGACAAGTCCCGCCATGAAGGTAACCTCTGAATACTGGTCAGAAAGATCGTCTCCCCTAACTTAATAAAATGGCCCATTAAAATGTTTAGCCTATACAAATCCCTGGAACTTGATTGAATATATCCAGTCTTCCTGAAGAAAGCGGAAGAAACCCTGTTTGATTCTCTAACAAAGTTGGTCAGGGCTATTCACCGGCACCACACCAGCTGCCACTGGCACCACAGAGATTTCTTTATGGCAGCAATAGTGGGAATAGCAACATTAACGGGAATAGCAGCGACAGCAGGAACAGCGATGGTATTATAGGCGTGAGCCATCTCTGCCCTCTGTCACCAAGCATGCGCACGATCTCCGTGGCTGTTACCGAACTGAAATAATCTTTCGCCCGACTGTGAACATTAATACCACGGTTGAGCGATCTGTGGTTCTCGGATGAAGAGGTTCACCGCTGCGCGGGCAAACATTCGTGCCGGTCCGCAGCAAATGAGCGTTTTTTGGAGGATACCGTCTCGCCCGATCGCTGTTACGGGCGTATTATTGCCGTGGCATAGTTATTGGTTCCTTTTTCTCCTATTTGTATTTTAAGTATTTCTATTTTTATTATTATATTATTTTCATTATTTATATATTTTAATTATTATTTATATTCTTCCGGAATCTCTGCTCTATCGTGCGCGAACATTGCAACTTGCACACCCGGCAGGTTACTTAGCATTTGAGGCATTTGTGCTTCTCTTGCTCGGCGTAAATCATTTTGTAAATAAAGTCGTGAACTGATTTGTAATTGTTAAAACGATGCTCCCTTTACAGAAAGGGATTTGCAGCAGGACTAAATGAGAGAAGATTTTTTCCTCTTTATAATACCTATAAAAAAACTCAAATTTAAGTTTTGTCAACTTCGCAGTAGCAATTTTTGAAGATTTTCACCTGCTGTTTCGGATGCCGTAGGATTTTATTTAACTACAACATTTCACTGCTGAGCAATAAAACTTTTTAGCTCTTGTATTACTGATAAAATTTTGAATGGTATGAATAGAAGTGTGCAAGCTTATGAAGCTTTTCTTTTCATATGTTTAAATTTATCAAAAATTAATTTAAAAAGTTTATTGAGATGATAAATTATAACAGTTAATGATACGGTTCATTATCGTGATTGGAGCTCCAGTCATAGAATATATTATTGGATATTTATATAGATCTTTGCGAGTCAAGGTCTGATAATATAAGGGAATCGTTATTTATGATACCTTGTCTCACGGAGATAGATAAAAAAACGTATTAGAAATAAAAGCATTATATATATGACGATAGGTTTAAGCTCAGTTATCAAAAGCGTAGCAGAGAAATAAAAGTGTGAAAGAAACAATATTAAGACCCCACCAAGTAAGCTCAACGACAAGGGCACCAAAGTCGATGGAATTGTGCTTTCAAGAGAGAACGATCGGCAGTTCTAGTTATACAGTTCTCCTAGGTTACGTATTTTTTTTATCTTTAACGACTATTTTATTGATATATTTTGGTCTGGTAATATAACTTTTCTGATGCACTACGTACAAAGCAAATATCATCATATACTCCAAAAACTTATAAAACAGCTAAATATGAAAAAATTGATTTTTTGTTAGTATCTACAACAGGATCGGTACTCGGTTTTTTTCTATAGAGGAATTAATTTTTTATTCACTTTTATAATTTTATAATATAATGTAGCAAATTGCTCCTTTTCATTCAATATTTATTATTCTGTAGGATTTTTATAGTATTTATATAAATTTTACTATTTTCATTATCCTTCAATATTGATCCACTAATGTCTCGTACTTTTATCTTCCATAAAATGACTGAAAATGTAGCTTGGAGTAGTGGCGAGTCCAAATCAGAAAATGAAATATTAGAAAATGAAGACATTGGTGAAATCGAATCACAAGACTTTTATTATAACAAACCTCAACTGTTTGATGATGCGTATTTTTACCCATTAATCAAAGATTTTGATGGTAGTTTCAAAATGAACCTGAATATCTCTTTTTAAAGAAGCCAATAGACTATTTCAATTATTTTTGTGATTCTTCTTTGCTCCAAAAAATTGAAGAGGAAACAAATTGTTATAAAACTCAAAATCCTACCACTAAATCTTCCCACATGAAAACTTGGTCTCCTGTCACAAAAATAGAACTGGAAAATTTTCTTGGCGTTTCGACTCTAATGGACCATGTCCAAAAAGGCGATGTGCAAAGTTGTATTTAATTTATATATTTATTCAAATCCTGCGAGTTTATATTTTCATAATAATGAAGACATCGTAAATCATCCTTTAGTGAAAATAAAGCCAGTAATAGAACACGTACAAAATAAATTTTCGGCAGTTTTCACTCCAGGGAAAAATTTGTGCCTAGATGAAAGTTTATTATTGTGGAAAGATAGGCTTCGATTCAAGCAATATATTCCTTTAAAGAGAAATCACTTTGGCAACAAATTCTTCATGCTTGTAGACTGCGAGACAGGATTTGTATTGGATTTTATGGTTTACACTGGAAAAGACATTGATTATCAGAAGTTTGATTTAGGTGGTATTGTAGCTCACTTTTTACAGCCTTACTTTTATAAGGATCATATTGTATATATAGATAATTAGTATACAGCTCCTACTTTGGCAGAATTTTTACATGATCGTGATACAGGATGTGTGGTAAGGTAAAATCAAATAGAAAGGGAATGTCAAAGCTTGAAAACAAATTAGTCCGAGATAAAGTAAAAGTCTCTCATAGTTATCAGTGGATGGCAGAGAGATGGGAAGACAAATGTAGCGTTCTTATGCTTACAAGTATGCACGAACTTGAATTCCGTATAACTAAAAAAAAAAGTTATCTAATGAATGAAGACATAAATCCAAAATATTTTCAAGATTACAATCAAAATATGGGTGGAATCGACAATATTGATAGACAATTATCTATCACAGAATCAATGCGAAAAATAATGAAATGGTATCGAAAGTTTTTTTTTCATCTTATTGATCTTTGTCTATCTAATGCTCATGCATTATATAAGGGCTACATAATTTCCTTTATTTCGATTACAGGTAGTTCATTGTTGAAACTTGATCCTTCTGCAAATATATCTCCTATAATGATCCTCCGACTCGATTAGTCGGCCGCCATTTTCCGAGACAAAGTACAAGATGGAGATGTCATTAGTGTCCTTTGCGTAAGACTGTACATATATATGAACTAAATAGGATCACCTTTTCACCACGTCCACGTCGTTGATTCTGAATCATGCTGAGAGCGGAATTTAGAATATTTTTTGACATTTTTGGAGACCCCGCAGTAACTTGATGCTTCTATAGTAGAAATGAAATTTGACCTCTATATCGACATTTGGCATAACAAGAATGCCTGCGGGATTTTTTGTATTATTTTTTACGTATTCAGTGCATCAAAATTCGTACGACAGCCTTCTCAAAACTCTGCTTATACCAGAAATACTACTTGACCTTGAAATAGATATTTTCAAGATCAGGATTATCAAGAGGAAATTTTTTATTATTTTTTACGTATTCAGAACATCAATTACATACGAAAACCGTCTAAAAACTTGATTTATAGTAGGAATAACATTTGACCTTGAAATGGTGATTATCAAGGTCAAGAGTGTCTGCAAGAATTTCGTTACTATTTTGTTATATTCAACCCATGAAACTACATATAAATACCCTCTCAGAGCTTCATAACAAAAGAGACAAATTTTTTACATTGCCTACGAGGCTAGTCGATATATGGACCAGCAGTTAGGTCAGCAACTCTATCTGATATATCCAGTGATATTATGTATAATAATCCAATATATATTTTACATATTCTAAGAGATCAATTTGTACTGAAATTCCTCGCAGCCTAAAGATTATTATTATTTATAAAGTGCTGACATCTCATGATTTTAAAATAAATTGTCCATGTACTGATGTTCTTTTATAACAATAAATGTTGTATCTGCATCTATCCTATTCTATTATTTGTTTGGAAAGGTATTATAAATTAATAATTCATATTTGAAAGAAAGAAGTGTATTTTTTGACGGCATATGAGGAAAGTATACTTTGACACAATGGCCGTCATTTGTAGATTTTAAAACAATGAGGTCATAAAAAGCAGTGCGGGGACACTCGCATACACCCTCACATACATCATATTTTCAACTCTACCACATCGCTCTTACTTCACACTTTTTTCTTATACTACATAAGGTTCTTTCTATAAGTCGATTTATTGTTGTTACTGTAATAAATTCACTTTTTATTCATATATATATATCAACACAACCCTAAAGAATCAACCGATTCACAGTGAATCATTTAAATCAAATAATAATACAACTGTTTTATATGAACCATTCTTCATATCCTCTACATGCTTCGTACGTTTTATTCAAATATTTGTAAATTTAACAACTCCAAATATGATGTTCTCACACAATTGACCGTACCTTCCATGTATCTATAGGAAATTGACATATACTCCAGTGTTCACTGTGAGGATCAGGTAAACCTCAGATAAACCGGATCACACTACGTCAAATTATTACTTAACACAATAATTGATATTTTGATATTATAACGGTTCTAGAAATTTCACATTATATATACATATATATATATATATGCACTCTTCTGTGTAGTAATATCTTATAAATTCGTTGTATGTTATAGTATTCTTTATTAGTGATATAATTTGTCATGTACCATTCCTGGCGAACGATCCATATAATCGAGTCTGCTAAGTTTCTATTTTTGCTTTAAATAATCCATCCAATAGTTACCTGTAACTTATAAGAATATTTTAGTTGAATTTTATATAAGTTCAACTTTACCCTTTTATTAATGTTGTTCAGTGTCAAAAATGTATAAGGACGCTATTATTATTGACATTATTTCTTCAGTCATTTGATTATTGTATCCAAGATTTTATAACCATTTATTATTCTTATCCAATATGCTCATCGTGTCATTGGATATAAATTATGTTATACTAAATTTATTACTTTTAATGAAGTTTATTCATCTTTCTCATACGAGGGTCGTTTGAAAAGTCCGTGCAAAGTCAGAGAGATGGCGCTACTAGTGCGTATCAAGGTTATTTTCAGTTAGTGGCATATCTTGGAAGAGCACACACCAACTTTCAGCCAGATCGGCCAATTACTTTGCGTTTTACATTCGTTTCAATCAAAGAAATCGAGTGGTTGTAAAAAAATGGACGAAAAAGAATTTCGTGTATTGACTAAACATTACTTTTTCAAAGGCAAAACGCCTCAGGAGATAAAACAGAAGCTTGATAAACATTATGGTGATTGTGCACCTTCGATTAGAATGGTTTATAAGTGGTTTCAAAATTTTCAGAGTGGCCATATGAACACAAAAGACTCTGAACGTTCTGGACGCCCTGTTGAGGTTACCACTTCAGACATTGATAAAATCGATGATATGGTGATGGCTGATAGAAGAGTGAAGGTGCGTGAGATTGCTAGTACTGTAGGCATCTCGAGCGAATAGGTACATAATATTTTGCACCAACATTTGGACATGAAAAAGCTATCCGCTAGATGAGTGCCGCGATTGCTCACGATTGACCAAAAATGAGATCGTGTGAAGTGTTGCAAGAATGGTTTGCAGATGTTCCAGGAAAATCCGCAAGACTTTAAGCTTCGTTTCATCATTGTAGATGAAACATGGATACATCACTACACTCCTGAGACCAAAGAATAGTCTAAACAATGGGTTACCAAGGGGGAATCTGCTCCGAAAAAGGCGAAGACAATTCCTTCGGCCGAGAAGGTTATGGCGACTGTCTTTTGGGATTCGCAAGGAATAATCTTCATCGACTATCTGGAAAAGGATAAAACCATTACAGGCGAATATTATTCATCGTTATTGGATCGTTTGAAAACCGAGTTGCTAGAGAAACGTCCACGATTGGCCCACAAAAAGTCCTCTTTCATCACGACAATACGCCAGCTCACGCCTCAGCAGCTATGGCCGCAAAACTGATGGAGATAGGGTTCCAACTCGTTTCACATCCCCCCTATTCTCCAGACTTGGCTCCGTCGGATTACTATTTGTTCCCTAATATGAAAAAATGGCTGGTGGGGAAAATATTTTATTCAAACGAAGAGGTGATTGCAGAAACGAATGCCTATTTTACAGACTTGGACAAATCCTATTATTTGGAAGGGATTAACAAACTAGAGCAGTGTTGGATGAAGTGTATAAGCCAAAAAAGAGACTATGTTGAAAAATAAAAAGGATTTATTAAAAAAAATCAAGCAGGTTTTATTTTTGCACGGATTTTTCAAACGACCCTTGTAGATTTAACTATCAAATTATAATAATTTAATATTTCACTTTTAATATTTTAAATTACATCTAATTGAGTAACAACTGTAATTTCTACGACTATATTTAGAGGTGTAACTTTTTTTTCATATAAAAGCATGCATGAGTTAGTTTATAACTTAAGATTTTTAAATATATAATCTTATTGTCAATATTTTAAACCCTTCAAAATTACGTAATTCCAATTTATAAAATAATATTTAGTATGCATTGTTTACTCTCGAACTCTTTCAGTATTATATCCATACTTATAAATATGTGTGTATGTATATATATATATATATATATATTGTAACGGTGCGGTTATTTTTTGAATAGTTCGTGTTTATGCGAAATTCGCGAATAAACCTACCGTAAACAATCGAGACTTTCGTCTCGTTTCTCGCGAGTTCGCGAGACGTTGTAGACCTTGCACTGGTCTACTGTGCAGCGGTTAGCGCAGTTTTAAAACACGGGCTTACTCGTGTTTGCGGAGGCGGCAGGGTTCTTAATTTTGCGAGGAAGGTGTCAGCAAATAAGTGGGAGAGCCAAATAGTATTTTCAATAACGAAACAATAGACGTTTATTCATTAAATAGAAAGAATTAGAATAGAGAAAATTACAAATGAATGCTCCTCGACGAGCAATATTCGAAAGGGAGAGAACGTTGGAACGTGAGAGAGAGAGTTGCTATATGATAAGAGCTGGCACTTACGAATATGCGCGTACGCTCGCAGATTTTCCAAAATGGATCGGCCGTCACACACGCACGACGCACGCTCTCGCTAACCACCTCCGGTTCGTTATCCAGCACAGTATTTTACGAGGTAATCGTATTCCTTGTTTCGCGATCCTCCCAAAAACGTTCGAGCTCGCCGCCAGCGTATCTCTTCTGCTCTCTGATCTCATCCCCGCCCAGCTCTCTCTCTCCAGCTTACCCTCTCTCTCATCTTGTTTACGTCTTCTCTCTCTCTCGTACAGTTGCGTAACTGTAAACAAGCTATACATATTACAAACTTCTATCGAATATTATATTATAGCTGGTGAGAGTATGACGATTTAAATTTATTCGTCATAATATATATATATATATATATATATATATACAGTGCCGGTCAGCCACTTTTACCCCCCCCACGGGCAAAATCAGTCTAACTTCAAAGTTTTATATCTCTGGTAGAAATTAACGTACAGAGACGCGCGTGGGTGCGTTTGAAAGGTCTTTCGGAGAGCTTTCAAATGATATGACTCACGGTTGCCATCGATTGTTTTTTTAAATTTTGCAACAATTATGCAAAATTGAAAATTCTGAAATTTTTTTATTATTTTTGACAATTAGCCAATTTTGGAAAAAAAAGGTAAGAAAATTTGAAGTACACCATTTTTTAGCTATTACCAAGCCCTATCTGAATCACTCATCAAAAATTTATTTTCGTCAAATATGACGCGCGCACGGGCATTTTTTCCTGGAAGTGACAGTTTTTTTCAACATTTTTTATCTCCGTCAAATTGTAACAATCGAAAAAAATTTATAGGAGAAAAAATGTTTGTTTTTTCACGTAGAATACTGCAATAATTTTTTTTTCGGTTTTTCGAAAAATTTTTTTTTCTCGGTTTTTTCAATTTTTTTTTCTCACAGTCGGTACGCTAAAAAGATGAGAAACCACAAAAAAAAATTTTTTATTGCTTTGTGTACATTAAAAATATTTTCTGTCTTCACATTTGTTGCTATTTCATTTATTTATTGATAAAATTATTTTTCAAGGTCGAAAAAAAAAGATTTTTTTTTTATGTAATTTACGATACTTGTTATGTAGTATTATTGAATATGTGGAAAAAAAATTTTTTTTGTGGTTTCTCATCTTTTTAGCGTACCGACTGTGAGAAAAAAAAATTGAAAAAAACCGAAAAAAAAATTTTTCGAAAAGCCGAAAAAAAAATTATTGAAGTATTCTACGTGAAAAAACAAACATTTTTTCTCCTATAAAATTTTTTTCGATTGTTACAATTTGACGGAGATAAAAAATGTTGAAAAAAACTGTCACTTCCAGGAAAAAATGCCCGTGCGCGCGTCATATTTGACGAAAATAAATTTTTGATGAGTGATTCAGATAGGGCTTGGTAATAGCTAAAAAATGGTGTACTTCAAATTTTCTTACCTTTTTTTTCCAAAATTGGCTAATTGTCAAAAATAATAAAAAAATTTCAGAATTTTCAATTTTGCATAATTGTTGCAAAATTTAAAAAAACAATCGATGGCAACCGTGAGTCATATCATTTGAAAGCTCTCCGAAAGACCTTTCAAACGCACCCACGCGCGTCTCTGTACGTTAATTTCTACCAGAGATATAAAACTTTGAAGTTAGACTGATTTTGCCCGTGGGGGGGGTAAAAGTGGCTGACCGGCACTGTAGAGAGAGAGAGAGAGAGAGAGAGAGAGAGAGAGAGAGAGAGAGAGAGAGAGAGAGAGAACTATCAATTTTAAACTACTTTAAGTAATTTTTTAAATGCCTTTGTAAGTAAAGATTAATTATTGTAACGCATGCTAAAATAAAAAAAATCAATTACGTATGACCATTAGGAAGATCAAAGAGACAATCGAAGGTAAAAAGATATAGTAATAGACATGATATAAATATAGTATGGTTGCGAGAGATACGGTAATGACAGATCTACGGACATAGATGAATCAACATATCTTGTAGCATTGAAACAGATTTCGACTTGCCGTTAATTGAGCCACACGTGCCCACTCTGATCAATGCAACCCAAGGTTTCTGCGATACTATTTATTGCATTTACAAAACAATAGCTAGCGGAATTTATATTCTGATTCACTCACTGACTAACTTGCTCATTCATTTACTCTCACATTAATTAGTCGAGTAGTTTCTACATGCTTGCGGTATAATTACTTGTCAAATCTTTCGGAAATATTCATACAGTTTAGCATTATTTTAGCGTATAGACAGCATTGGCGATAAAGAATGACCGACAGCATCAAGGCGACGTTGATCCCCCCCCCTCCGGCGAAGTAACTGATGGTAACCGGTGAACTATTTAATGAATACGTTCGCCTGTTACACAACATTCCATGTCAACCTCCACTGAGTAACATCATGGAAACTTCAATATTTATATATTCCTTACATTTTTATTTTAAAAATGATTGTCTTTATTTTAATAAAAAAATGAATACTCTTTTGAAGATATTATCAAATTAGCTACGAATTTATTCATTGCTTTTAGGTAATCTATACATTTTTATTACATGCCTATCTATAAAGAATCAATAAATCGAACTAAATCAAAATAACTTTGTAATTCTTCAATTGGCTTTTCAATAAAATTGTAAAAGTACAATTATCTTTATTCAAGTAACATATGTTATACAAATAAAATGTTATAAAATATACAATACTTTAATATATATCTACATTCCTTGAACTCGCTTTAC